AATCGACACCATCTGCGAAGCATTGAAGCCTTGAAAGAAGAAATCGTTTCCACTTTTCCATGCCATTAACCTTAGAGGATCAGCAGAAAATTCTTTCTCCGGATGGTTTAACAGGGAGATGAGAAATAACTGGTGAAAAACAGAGCAGCAACTTTGATCCTGCGCAGAAAAATTAACTGTGACACGGACATACATTGTATAGCTACTGATGGAACTGCAACAAAGTGGGATCGTAGCGGAATGAAGAGGTTTAAAGGAGCTGTGTCACGAAATCAGTCAGCCAAATTACGAAATTACAAAATGCAAGTTAAATTAAGAGAAACATAAAAATAACTGCTTAAAATTTTGAAGGAAGGTTACGGATGGCCAAAACTAAAGAAAATTGAAGCGGATGAAAGTAGCGTTTTTGAAAACTGTTTAGCCTAACAGTTTTTCAATGTTCATCCCTGCTGTTTACAACTTCAAAAATACTGCTCAGGAGACATACTTGTTTATCTCAGATCTTTGATTTTGTCATTTACATGTAATTTCTTTGCTTACTTTAAGTTCCATAGCGATTGAGGGCGAGTACTTGGCAAAATTAAACAAAATGAACTGGACTGCTGTGACGCAGCTCTTTTAAACAGGTGTTTAGATCCTACAGAGGTTATTAAAGGATCGCTTTTTATGGTCGTTTATTATTTTTAATCCCAGTAGTAAATTAATCCCTTTTAAAAAAGATCTTTTTTCTTTTCAGTCAGGAACGAAGAGTAAAGTTTGCCATTGCGGACTTCTGCATCTCTTTTTTACTCTTTTCTATCCAAGGGCGAGGCCTCTGGGTGAAGCGTACTGAAGGGAAAAATCCAGTCGCTGCGTTCGCCAATTTATGTTACGCTCTCCACCCTTTTTCTTCGAAAAGGATTCTGGTCCAGCCAGACGCATTGTCTCCGTTGATCAAGTTAAGGATGAATTTACCAACGTTGGAACATAGCTTACAAAGCCTCCACAGGTTTAGATAGTACAGAAGAGAAATTTAATCAGGCGTTTATATTTAGCTCATGGAAACCTTAAATCAATCAAAATAAGCTTATGAACTGGATGGGAGTACCGACACT